CTTAAATATATAATATATAATGATTATCTATTTAGATAAGTACAATAAATTTTATTTTATTCGATAGTCTTTGCCATTTCCAACGTCAAACGTGAGTAATGGAAACTTAACTGGTTTAACAGACGAGGTTCTGTCTACTTTATTTGCTGTAAAACCAGAATTGTGTGAACAAAAGTTTGAATTGAAAGTAAATGACGTTCGCTTCGTTGGACATCCGACTCCTGTCCTTTCCCGTAGCTTCAAGGAAGTGAATTCTTCTATGCTTTTCAATATAGTTTTCGCATTGCAAGCCCAAGCGAGTCATTCCATAGTGAGATGTTATTATGATCTGAGCAAAAGGTAAATATCACTTCTACATATGTATCATGATATTTATAGTATTGTAACAATTTTTCTATTTCTATTCTAAATTCTCTTTTTTTTTTTTTTTTTTTGTAAAAAGTGCCTCTTAAAATCTTGTAATCGATTGAATGGCTTAGAAGTTGCTCTTAGAGACACTCTTGTCAATAAAAAAAAAAAAGAATTCGGAATATAGGTCTTTATGTTTAGATTAGGTATAGCCTTGAGACACGAAGAAAAGAGATGTGGTTTCTTAACGGATGAGATAAAAATAATGGTATCGACACATGATGAAATTGCTGGAAGGTGAACGAGTAACTATTTTCATCTTCCTTCAACAAAATTATATCTCGTAAACGTATATCATGTCTCTAGATCGGAAGGTGAAAGTGATTGCGACGAATCACCCTATGAATTGATCCTTCAGAGAAGCTCACTAGCGCGTGGTCTAAAATCTGTATTTAGCAATCTCAGCACTTCTGGTATCGTCAATATCGTGATTAACAAATGGATTCAAGTACGCTTTTGTCTCCCACAAAAAGTTCATCAGTCGCACAAAAAAGGATTGCTTATAGATCCCGAAATTATAGACAGGTTTGTTGAATAATAATGTTGTTACACCCAGCATGAAAAATAGTGATGTAATGTACATCCAAACGAAGGAATTTTAATTTTCGATTAATTAGAAAAACTGTCTGAGGCTGCGTTCAAAAAATTAACGATCAATTAACGTTGTCCTATTTTTTTTGTCGCTCGTCGGATATAAATTGAGATAAAATGATGCGATAGCGTTAATAATAACGCTCTCTGAACACAGCCTAACATTTTACGAGAAATTGTACCTTTAATAAATGTAATATACGCAACACTTTTCTAGTGATAATTCGTTTGTTTACATTTATTTAAAAAAAGGAATTTTTTTATCATTTGTACTGAAATGATCTTGTTTCCTAATTTTACGTCAAACGACATGTGTTCGAATGTAATTGTATCGTCGTATCCATTTTACAGGTGTTTGAATAGCTTGAGACCTTACCATGGCATACTTTTGTTAACTGAACCATTAGATTTGTTAGAATCGTTGCAAATAGATTGTTCCCCTGCGCTTAAACGTTTGATTCAAATGTATAATCCGTTGAAAAGTTTACAAACTTTAGCTGCGGATTCGGATCTGACACTCGCCCAGGTGTTTCAGCTAGCTGGCCATTTAGTTTACTGGGCAAAAGCTACGATAATTTATCCACTTTGCGAAAGCAACGTTTACGTTGTCTCTCCTGATGCTGTTTTGAATAGTCAGTTGCTAGATTCTTTTTCCGAACACTTTCCAGGAATTTGTTTACTTCAGGTATATGCTTTGCGACTATTTTCATTCGTTTATTCGTTCAGTTTTATATTTATTTGTTACGTATTAATTTTTTTATTTTCAAGCGGTTGATACGTAAATAAAACTCTGAACTATATATATTAAGCATGGGTAAAACTTGGTATTATATTTGTATGATTTTAGGTAATCAGTGATTTCTCCCTACCAACTTCGATTAGTCAAAAGTTAAATCCCTTGAGCCAACCACAACAGCAAACGCAATTAGTAAAGATAATCATATGGCTGCTAAAAAATCATTTGCTTCTACAGTTGCATACATATGTACGATATATACCGACGATATATGGACGCTTATCCTTGGTAAGTGATGGCATAGCTTATTATTTTGATATAAATACGTTACTGTGCTTGGAATATTCGAACGTGATGTTCTTAAGTTACATTATTGTTACAAAATTGGAATATCCGAAATTGAAATATCCAAATATTTAATTAATAAAACGATCGGAGCAATTATGCGCGCGGGAGGCTGTGATCTAATTGAATATAATTCTGATAATATTGATAATTGTGTAATTCTTTTATAACTCGATGTCCTAATTTATATATTACGATATTTCGATCTCGGTAAGTTTTTTTAAATTTTCTTTGGTGTTCTGATTTGTGCGATGTTAGGATACGAAAGATCAAGGGACGCGTGATGCAAGTGCGATAGAAGAAAGCGAAAGCACATGGAATTTGAATGAAACACCGAAAGAAACACCTGTCAAAATCAAAGAGGAATTGTCGCTCACTGATAAGGAGCAGGATGCATTATATGATTATCAATCGGAAGATTATGATATTCCCTCTGACGATAGGAAATTATTGGATAGATTGTGCCGTCTTGGTTATTTTGATGGTGATTATCACTTGGAAGAGATTATGTATTTAGAAAATATTCGTAGATCTCAATTGTTACAGCTACTTGATAAATTTCGGGATGTTTTAATGACTTCCGAGTGCGAAGATCCTGCTATAGCGCTTTTTTACAGTCGATTAGATACTTGATTTTAGGTAGAAAAAAAAAAAGATAATTCATTCGATGTGATAGACTAGTATTTTTCGATTAAAAAATGCGATACGAAATATTACAAACGTAATCTGTATAATCTTAAATGCATACTTCTAGGAAAGAATATCGTAATTTCGTAATTTTATCGTAATTTTTCAAATAAAGAATATTTTCATTTTTTTCGTCTTATTTATTATCCGCTGTAGCATATTTAAAAACGTTTAAATATCGCAAAATTGTTTTTCGTAATAATATTACTAATCTCTTTTTTTATGTAAACGAGTTACTCGGGTATTGCTATATATTTAGTTTTTACATCCGCTTGGAAGGAAAACTTCAATCAAAAAAAACGTTTTATTTCTTTTCTCTTACAAAACTTACAATAAGTTGTGTACCTTTAGTCAAATTGTACTTATTCTATGAATAGTATCTGAATAGTATTAATCTTATAACAAAAGAAATAATACCGAGAGAATTGATGTTATTTTATAAATATTATGTGTATCCGTATTGTTATTTTGATATTATTTTTGTGATATTTTCAACTTGTATCGACTCTTGAGCTACTTTAGTTATTTTTCCTTCGCTCATGTACATACTTTAATCATAAAGTAAGAAATTATACGAATTTTCAGATATAATGTACATCTTTTTTTTTACGAAAGTAAATGTAAATTATTCCACTTTTCTTTCTTAATTCAGAAACTGATCACGTACGTGAATTAAAACTTAATTTTATAATGAACGATGCAAAATTTAGCTTTAACTTGCAATTGTTTCGTACAGAATTATTGAAAACAGAAAAAAAGCTTTGTTTTTAAATAGCATTTTTTGTGGTAAAAATATCTTATAAAAAATTATTCTAAGAAAAATTTGTGAAAAATGATCAAAGGAAGAAAGTTATGCGATCTAATATAATTACTTTATAAGACATAACTATTTTCAAATTATTTTTAGCTATTTATATATAAGATTTTCTTATTAAAGATTATAAAACGATCAACAGCACTAGCGTGACTAGAGTGACTTTTGAGATAATGATAATGATGTAAAATATTTTGACAAACCGACAAAAAATAAAATTTAAAAAATTAAACGTAAACGTAATACGTGTTCTTAAAGTATTTTGATATTGTAGTGTATTAAAATAGCGAGGAAACGTGATTGTGTTTTTGAACAATAAACGCGATTCGAAGAGAAAATGACAACAGAGATCTTACAACATGAGATCTTATTTAAAAAAAAAAAAAAAAAAAAAGAGAGAGAGAGAGAGAAAGAATATATTTTGCGAACTAATAAAAATAATTGATCGACTGTCAAAAATAAGATTGAATATTGTATTTGATGCATCGTATATATCGTTCTAAATAAAACGGTTTTAATTATCTACCGCATCTTCTCATATTTATACTTTATTATCAAACATATCACATATGAATATTTTATTTATTCCTATTTCATATTATACCCAATTCGTTAATCGTCAATTAACACAATTTACAATTAACACAATTAGGCTCGAATAAAACATTCATTCATTAAGATTCGTTTGAATCATTTAGATTTGTTAGAATCATATATAAAAAAAATTTGGATCATATAGAATATTGCGCGTGTTTAGCACCAATACAACATTCTACACAGCGAAATATTACTTTTAACATTGCAAGAGTTTGTAAGTACATTCGTGAACGTAATTATTTTAAGACATAAAAAGTAATTAATAATTTCTTGAAAATAAACAATTTATTGTATATTCTTTTCTTTTAATAATTACAAGTTTCGTCATAGCTTTTGTTTCGGATAGTTCTGTACTTTGCTTTTTAATTTCTTTAAAGCGCATTTAGCTGCCGTACATTTCGCAATTCTGTAATTCCGCCCGATTCCTTTAAATGAACCTTTACCAAACACATCTACGGTTACCCGAACTCTACGACCATCAGCCAGTTTCTCAGGCCTACCGAATTTTGCTGTTTCAGGTTCTAATTCTAATAATTCGCGAATTGGAGATTTGGGAACGTTTGTGCTGAACTGTTCTGTAATTATACAGTATTTCTTTAATAAACTGATCAGATATTTTAAGTATTTGTTTTAAATGAGATATATTACCAATTTCTGACTTCATTATTGTATAATAAACGCTCCATACTGCATCGAGGGACATTCCGCTATCCAAATAAATTGCACCGGCTAATGACTCGAAAACGTCGCCCAATGCCTTTGGAACTTCTACGTCTTCAGCTTCCTCACATTTCTCTTCGCCAATCAAGTAGTACTAAAATGCACGACATTCGATACGTGTTATGTTATATTTATATTTATCATATATATATATATATCAGAATAGCATCTGTTTTAATATACGCTATTAGACATGGATCGCAATTTCTTTATCTAACAAAAAAAAAATGCTTCGTTGTCTCTCGCAGATTATGACCACTGTCAAATTTCTAATAATAACAACGATTATAACAATCTCTACCTCCTCACTGATGGAATGTCCATTCTCTTCCTGTATTCTGACGAAGCGATTTATTACCACGCTTAGCCCGGGAGAAAGATGACGGAAATATTTATGAAAACCGCATCTCACCGCTAAAGAAGCGAATATTGTATTATTCACTAAAGCGGATCTTAAATCTGTTAAAGCACCTGGCGAATGTTGCCGGGAATCTTCATACAAATGTCTGGTTATTAAATAATCTGAAATATAAGGCATGTAAAATTGTAATGAAATCGTAATATTAATGAAATTTGATAATCGAAAGTAGTTTAATCGATACGTTTACCTAATACAGCATCGCCAAGAAATTCCAAACGTTGATAACAATCCGTTAATCTATTGGGTTGATAAGAGGCATGCGTAAATGCTTGTAAAAGATAACTACTGTCACGAAATTTATATCCTATACTTTTTTCTAATTCTTCGTATCCGTCGAGCATCATATATAATTCACTCTCTGGATCAGGAATGTAACGGAGTAATGGGTTTAGTGGCTCTTCCAACTTTCCGTAACGAATCTGAAATGTGTCGATGAAGAATCAAATTTTATAAACTTAGTTTAAATAATGACGTAAATATGAAAGAAAAAAAAATTTGTATATAAATTTGTATATTTGTATCTAAAACATGTCGTGGAATAAGACGTATATTACTTTTTGAAATCAATTTTTCTCCATTTGCAAGAATATCGCATGCGTAATAATATTCTCTAAAATTTCATTATATTTCGTTATTATAACTAATTCTAATTCATTATATTTCGTTATTATAACTTTGTTATTATCTTACTAGCCGAAAGAGAAATTACCGTAAAATTCTATATTAAAATATTCTATATTAAAATATCTTATATCACAATACAACCCACTTGAAATTACGTTACACCGTTCACTTACACTTCTGAAAGTTTACGCGAATTTTACGTGAAAAATCATTCTTTCGCAGTGGCGTTTCTTTCGGTAGCATAATTTGAAAATCAACTATCGGTAGTTGGACACATTTTTTACTATCCGCGAGATTTTCTAAGGAATCGAGTACTCACTTGTGTCCAGGTAGTTTCGCTATATTCATTAATTCCCTTTACATACGGTGTGCTACCTGGTATCCGTTCCTCCGGTTCATTTTCGCTTATCACGCAAATCTCTTCGGTAGGTAAAACATGAATACCTAACCAAGTCATAAAAAGAAGTGCTCCACGAGGTCCACATGCGATTAAATATGCTCCTATCAAAGCTTCTACGCAATCCGCGATACTTTTGTCTGGGATACTGTGCTGCGTAATTAAATTATAAGGGATGAAGCATCGCAAATTATCTAAATTGTTCGACAATTTACTTTCGTTTTTATCCAATTCGCTTTTCATAATCACAAGTTTTTCCTCAGTCTCTTTAACGAGTTGTATTATTTCGGTAGGATTCACAGCTTGCAAGGTAGGAATATCAGCTTGATTCCATAGAGCGGAAGGAACACCGGATTCGATCAACGCTTGCTCGAGTTCTTTGGGAACGTAGTAACAAGGAGGCAGCCAATTGTCATGTGGTTCAAACTTGGTTGCTATCATGCTCTCACCGAGCATTTTTTGTCTACCGAGTCTATAAAGATTTAGATTGCTGACCTAAAACAAATTAGTAACTTGAACAAACGTAACGGTCAAATACGTTCAAACGATCGTAAGTCGATAATATTTACTATAAGTGAACACTCTTGTAATAATAACACACCTGTTTTGATCTCAAGTGACTGAGCTTTCCTTCGTGAATATTATCATATGTACAATATAAATACGTAGTTATAGCGTACTTGAGAAACGAATCGCCAATCGTCTCCAACCGCTCCAAGTTAATACCGTCATTCGCATTAGACATTGTTAGAGCCTGCAAAATCAGACTAGGACTTGGTCCTGGATGGCCTTTTAATTCTGGTTGATAATCGAAACTAAAAAGACCGTTATTTAAATAATTTCTTTCACTTGCCTTATTTATCTCTTTTTTTGCCATTCGAGTAGACTCGGTGATCTTTCTATTTAATATTTCCGTGGTAAATCTTTTTACTACACTCTCTATGTAATCTTTATATTTATAATTCGGTTTATCGCTTTCGGTTTGGCAACTTGACGAATTTTTTCTTTTAATCGTAATGTCAGAAGTGCAAGGTATGAAAGTACCGTCGGTCATTATATCGTGCTCCTTTTTCTTAGCAAACTCATAATGTGCTTCCTTGTGTTTCGCGAGTAATGACTCTTCGTCCTTTTCCGCGTACATCCAGCAATTGTTATCAAAATTTTTTTCCGTTTCCAAAAGATCCAAAATTTTTTTGTTGATTTCTTGCTTACATATCTGTTTTTCGTCCTCCACAGCTTCGGCGACATTTTCTCCCATGTAAGAAATCTTCAGGCCTCTACTTTCATCCTCACTTTCGTCAGATGTGTCGATAAATCCGTCACTGTATATATCATCCGACTCATAACCATCGAAATCGGATTCGTACGTTGGTGAACCGTATCGAATGTCGTTCCAACCAAAGTCTTGCGGTAAGACCGTTACATTTAGAGGAAACGATTTCAGGTCGTCCGCGTCATAATCCGCACAATTTATCGTCATTTCGTTTGACCATGCCATATCGTTTGACCAAGTACCAATCTCCAGCTCGTCATCCTTTTGCTCATCGGTAATCCCTTCTTCCGCTTCACCGGCTCCATGTGCATCATCGGATTCCAATTGTATTTGTTGTATTTCAATTTCGTCGCACGATGTGTACTGTTTATTATTCGTGTCTCGATTAGATGTAATATTCTGACACTTACTGGCATTCATATTGTCCAAAGATGAATTGTCCTGTGCATTTTCATTTTTATTCTGTTTTGTTTTTTCCGTTTCCTTCGATCTTTTCAATACCTCGGCCAAACTCCATCCAAAATCTAACGCTGGCCATTCGAAATCTAAAATAATTTATCGTGTTACAAATATTAAATATTAATCTCATTTGAATCATTTCAATTGTTACATTTCTAACTCTATCATTATTGAGAAATATCTGTCTCTTCGAAATGTGTATATAAATTTCAAGCTCTTATGCACCTGAATTGAGATCTTGCTGTCCCAAATTTATCATGTGTGCAACTTGACACCGTATCTGATTAGCGAGCAATAAAGCATTAATTCTGTACAATATGCAAGGTAAGCAGACTGCTTGTCTCCATAAAGAGGCTGGAAAGGGATGAATAGCGCACAATTCAGCAACAAGGATCTGCTTCTGTTCTAAATTTTCTCTTTTTGCACGTTTCGTTTCTTCACTACTTGTAGGCAACGCGACACCTTTACGATTCACATATCTGGAATAAATAAATCATCGAGTATGATCTCTTTTTTTTCTCTAAGGAATACTGAAAATGTCTCGATAAATGGTTACTTCACGGGTCTTACCTAGGAGTTAAAAAGTTTAATCTAGCTGATGTATGATCGACATCTAACAACGATTGTTCCAGATTTTGTATTTGTATACCATATTTTTTAAATAATATTCTTCGAAAGTGCTATAATCATGTCCGGGAAAAGAAGACTTTGGATTTAAGTTTGTGCATATTTCTGCTACATAGAAGTACTGAGGGAGCGAAAGAAAAAAAAAATACCGCAAAAGATCATAAAATAGACAAAAGATTTTTATATTTCAATATATTTCATTTATATTTATTTAAATATATACCTGTGGTTGGTCTTGACTTCTATACCATGGCATGATTACAGCATCGTAATATTTAGATGGATCAAATTTGAAATTTTTCCTATCTTCTTCCGGAACTTTAGTTGGCACTGCATTTCGATTCTGATAAATGCATTCCAAAAAATTCCAATCTACTCTAACATCTGATCCTTCTGATGTTGTAACTAAAAAATTAAATTTAATAATTATATTCTACAAAGATTCTAATAAATCTTTTTAAAA